GGGCGGGGGGCGGAGCCGGGGCGCGCGCCGCGCTCGGGCCACTGCGCGCGCGGGCGGCCGGGCCTGGGGGCGGCGGCCGCGGGTATGGCCGGGGCTGCAGGTGGGGCGCGCGCCCGACGGCCGGGGCTCCCCTCCGAGCGGCCGCGGCTCGTGGTGTGCCTGCCCGGGGGGCCGCCGCATCGGCGCCGCTGAGGCCAAGGACAGACCGACAGACAGCCCGCCCTCCCCCGCTCAAACCGGGATCATGACGGTCCCCAAGGAGATGCCCGAGAAGTGGGCCCGGGCCGGGGCGCCCCCCTCCTGGAGCAGAAAGAAGCCCTCTTGGGGGACAGGTAACGGGAGGCAGCGCCTGGCCGCTCTCCCGAGCCCCTGCTTTCCCCTCCCACCCTCACATTTGGTTGTCCTCAGCCTTGCGCAGCCTTCCCTGGTCCGCCCCTTTCCAGACCCAGGGATCCTGGCTCCAAAGAGTCTGGCCCCTGCTTCTCCCTTGCATGGTCTTAGGAGACGCCGCAGGGGGCTCAGAGCGAGGGGTCCCCACTGGGGAAGTTTCTGGGAGTATAGTGCCCACGCAGGGAGGGAGTCCTCTGAGTAGGCAGAGGGTGCTGTGTTCTGAGGTTTGGTTACTGCAGTGTGCTCTGCAGGGGTCTTTGGAGGGGTGAGGGGAGGGGTCTGGCATGCTGCGTTTGGCTCCAGCACTGGTTGAACGCGTTATGTTCTCTGCCTCACCAAGGAACCCCCCTTTTCAGCCTTGGCCCTTGTGACCCCCAGAGGTGGGCTGGAGAGCCCTTGACAGGACAGCCCCGTGTTCTGGGACATGAACTTGGTACCTGCAGTCCCAGATCAGCGGATGTTCAGGATAGGTGTCACTCAGTTAGTGACAGGTGTGTTGTTTAAGGGCAGGGTGTGCGGATGGCACAAGAAGGGTTACAGTTAGAACAGCCCTTTAAAGTACATCCCATTCCTGCCTCCTTCATTGCTGTCTTGGTCTGCATGACCCATATCCCTGAGCCCCCCCTTCTCTGTCTTGAAGATGAGCTTTGAAATAAGGTGATGTCATTGTGGGCCAGTCAGAAGGCTCTGCGGGTGACATGTGACAAGCAGAGGCTCCTGTAGGGGGCTGTGGGGCTGGGATGCTGCCGCAGAGCACGGTGACCCTCGGGCTTGCCACCCACCCCACCCCCAGGTTAGGAGGAGGGCAGTGCCCTGGCTGGATCTGGAGGGGTTCCCAGGGGAAGGAAGCTTTTTGTCTGCAGCTGCTTTTCCTCCAGTGATTCCTGAGGCCATAATGGCTGAGGTGTTAGTTAAAGGGATGTGGGGAGGGGATCTGAGTGCCCCTAGCAGAAGACCTTGACATTGTTGGTCTTGTCCTGTGAATGAATGCCTGCAGAGCCGAATGGCCAGGCTGGTGTGAGACGGACCAGAGGGTGGAACCAAGTGATACCTCAGGCATGGCACCAGCTCCTTAAACTGTGTACTCTGCAAGGAGCCAAGGGTCCTCAGTGGAAACCCCACAAAATGGGTAGGCCTGACAAGGTGTTGGGCCAGGCCTCCATTTGCTCCTCCTGACTGCGGCATCATCGTTCTGTTGCAGAAGAAGAAAGGAGGGCTCGAGCCAACGACCGAGAATACAATGAGAAATTCCAGTATGCAGTAAGTGACCCGGCCGACCTGCTCCCTCCTCCTGAGTGCCAAAGGGCAACGGCCCCCTTGAGGTTGGGGCCAGGGGAGGGAAGGCAGCCCCGTGGCCACTTTCCATTTTCCATCTGCGGCTGTGCTGATTTTTTCATGCCTTCACCTGGCAGTGCCCCAGGACACATGGGCCCCATGAGACTCCCTTCTTGCTACCCCTCCCCCCCATGCCTGTGGTTGCTGGCTTTTGGGGGCAGAGGTTTGGGAAGTGTTGACGGAGGAGGCAGCCTCTGCCTGGTTCTGGGTTGGGGTTATAGGCTGTCTGGTGATCTTCTCTCCCGCTGCCGTAGAGTAACTGCATCAAGACCTCCAAGTACAATATTCTCACCTTCCTGCCTGTCAACCTCTTTGAGCAGTTCCAGGAGGTTGCCAATACCTACTTCCTGTTCCTTCTCATTCTGCAGGTGAGTGCCCCACAGTAGACCCTCTGCCACTCAAAGCCAAGCCAAGGAAGAGAGAGGTGGGGGGGGTGGGGAGGGGCTGGTCCGGGGCCTCAGAGCCGAGCGCTCTTCCCCTGCAGTTGACCCCACAGGTGTCCTCCCTTTCCTGGTTCACCACCATCGTGCCTTTGGTTCTTGTCCTCGCCATCACGGCTGTTAAAGACGCTACTGATGACTATGTGAGTCGCTTCTGTTCTTCCGTTCCTGCACTTCCTCCTCACCCGACTCTGCCCGGCACAGGTCCCCGGCCCCTAGACTTGTGGCTCCTTGGCCAAGGGCAGGGGCGGAGCCAGGGAGAGAGTACACCTGTGGACGGGGGCGCTCCAGGTGGGACCCAGCACGCTCTACACCTCACTGACCGCCTCAGTCCCCGGGAGTGGGGAAGGCGTCTTACTTCTCTTAGTTCTTTTCAGTTCCGCCACAAGAGCGATAACCAGGTGAATAACCGGCAGTCCCAAGTGCTGATCAATGGGAGGTGAGCGCCCGGTGGAGACCGAGGGCCTTTAGGAGGAGGGGTCCCCTGGGAACGTCTCTCGCTACTGACCAGCCTCTTTCTCTTTCTTCTTGCCACAGCCTCCAGCAAGAGCAGTGGATGAATGTCTGTGTTGGCGATATTATCAAGCTGGAAAACAATCAGTTTGTGGCGGTAAGGGGCAAGGTGGCCCTCTAGGGCTACGAGTCTCTTCACTCTTTTTTGGCAGATAGAAATGAGTCTTTCCTGATTTCCCACAGCCTCGTAATCATGCACGGGTTGAACTTTCTTTTCTTTCTTTTTTTTTTTTTAAAGATTTTATTTATTTATTTGAGAGAGAGAGAATGAGAGACAGAGAGCACGAGAGGGAAGAGGGTCAGAGGGAGAAGCAGACTCCCCGCTGAGCAGGGAGCCCGATGCGGGACTCGATCCCGGGACTCCAGGATCATGACCTGAGCCGGAGGCAGCCGCTTAACCAACTGAGCCACCCAGGCGCCCGGGTTGAACTTTCTTGAGTGGGGACCTGCTCTTTTTTTTTTTTTTAATATTTATTTATTTCTTTTTTGAGAGAGAGACAGTGCACGTGTGCTGCACTCGTGTGTGAGTGGGGGAGGGGGGCAGAGGGGGAATCCTCAGCCGACTCTACACCCAGCAGGGCTCAATCTCACAACCCTGAGATCACAGCCTGAGCCGAAGTCAAGGGTCGGACGCTTAGCCGACTGTGCCCCCCAAGCTCCCTGAGTAGGGAGCTTCTGTGTCATATTAATATACTGGGACTGGCTTCTCTCTTGCCATTCACACTTGGGACTAAGCAAACCAAGAATGCTTAGGGGAAGCAGGGGTCAGCCAAGAGTGCATCACGAGGAGAGGGTTGAGTCTTTGGGCTCCTCACTAGGCTTTCTCTCTAGGCGGATCTCCTCCTCCTTTCCAGCAGTGAGCCCCATGGCCTGTGTTACATAGAGACCGCAGAACTTGATGGGTAAGTCGGATGCCCGGTGTTACACATCTTCTGCCTCCTTAAGGGTAAAAAGCTTGTTTTTTGGAAGAGATTCCTAGGTCTAGGAGTTGTACCTTTTGGACAATTTTTAGGGATCAGAAAGGCTTTGGGCATGTAGAAGTATTATGCACTCAGTAATGTGGAGGGGGTGATACCCCAAGGTCATGTGCTCCCAGGTAGATTCTAGAGGAAGGGAGGGGAACCAGGACTTAGGGGCACTGTCCTTCCAGAGAGACCAACATGAAAGTGCGCCAGGCAATCCCAGTCACCTCGGAGTTGGGAGACATCAGTAGGCTCGCCAAATTTGATGGTGAGTGATTTTGGACAAGTGGCTTGTGGGTAGAGGAGGTGGGTTGGGTTTTGGGGTTTAAATTGCACCTGCTCCTTTTCACTGGGATGCATCTCCCTGGATTTTTCTTTGTGGGGGAGTGTCAGCAATGCAAGGTGGCTTCCGCTTACTTTTGAGTTCATGGCCATTTCAGGAGCTCTTTTTTTTTTTTTTAAAGATTTTATTTATTAGAGAGTGAGAGAGAGAGAAGAGAGAGCCCAAGAGGAGGTAGGGTCAGAGGGAGAGGCAGACTCCCCGCCGAGCAGGGAGCCCGATGCGGGACTCGATCCCGGGACTCCAGGATCATGACCTGAGCCGGAGGCAGCCGCTTAACCGACTGAGCCACCCAGGCGCCCCAGGAGCTCTTCATGGCCAATAGTTCCCTCCTTGCCGTAGGTGTTGAGAGAAATTCAGTTTATTCTTATTTGGCTCCAAATAATGATATGTGCTTCTTCGTTAGAAGGACAGACCATAGTGTGTGTAAGAAAAAAACCTCCTGCTCCTCAGTCTTCTCTGTTAGCTGGCCAGGTGCACTGCTCCTTCAGTGTGTATCCATCCAGGCTCTGCATTTATACAAACGTGAGCATAAAGCACTGGGACCCTGCTGCACCCAAATCTCCACACCTGGCTTTCCTTACCTGTTAAATTCTTTAGGTGTCTCATTGCATCGCTGTTTACAGAAATCTGCCTCCTTCCTTTTAACAGCCGCGTCATGTTGCACAGAGCTGACGTGTCAGAACCTACTCAGCTCCCTCGACCATTCAGTTTTCTCCAGTTTTTTGCTGTTTAAAGAACGCTTCAGTTAACCTGTCGTGACCTATGCTGTTATTTCTGTAGAACAGAGTCCCCAGAGTGGGATCCCTGGGCTGGAGGGGGGCTGCACTCATGCCAGCGCATCCCTCCCGCCAAGCCGCCTCCGTTCACCTCCGGGCAGTGTGCGGAGGTCCCTCCCTCAGCCGTGTCTTGGCTCGAAGTCAGGCTGCTGACGGCACCTGGGGTGGCAGCTTTCTGTCTTCTGCTCAGGTGAGGTGGTCTGCGAGCCTCCCAACAACAAGCTGGACAGGTTCAGTGGGACCCTTTACTGGAAGGAGAGCAAGTTCCCCCTGAGCAACCAGAACATGCTGCTGCGGGGTTGTGTGCTGCGCAACACCGAGTGGTGCTTCGGGCTGGTGGTCTTTGCGGGTGAGCCTCCCAGGAGCCGGTGGCGGGGAGCCTGAGCGTGCGGTGCGCCCCAGTGCCCGTCTCCCCAGCTAGCACCTCTGTCCCCCTGATGTCCTGCAGTCTGCAGCCCCGGGTGGAAATGCGGCCGACTGCTTCCTTGGCTTCCGCACCTGCTCCCATTCCTTTCTAGGTCCTGACACGAAGCTGATGCAGAACAGCGGCAGGACAAAGTTCAAGAGAACAAGTATTGATCGCCTAATGAATACATTGGTGCTCTGGGTAAGGCTCTGCCCAGCGGCCCCCTGCGTATTGTTCCCCCTGGGCCGTTCCCCTTGCTCCCCCCTCCTCCCTGGTCAAAGGCAGTGCTTATGTCAGGCTCCCTTTAGACTTGGAGGACGTTACTTAACAAGAACCTTAGGAACGTGCGTGAATCAAGGACTGGAAGAGAGCTAAAGCAAACCCGCCCTTCTCTGGATTCCAGCTATGCTGGTGACTTAGTGCAGCATGTCAGCTTCTGTTTGCTTTTGCCAGGGACAAGGAGGCCTTCACGGGGATGGAGAAGGAATTAAAAGAAAAATTTCCATTTGGCAGATGGATAATGAACGGGGTCTTTTCCCCTGACTTCTAAGAGTGGAGGATCCCAAAGGAAGAGTTTTAGTTTTTAGCCATTCCTGAATCCTTCTCTTGTTTGGCTGGAAATTTGAGCTCCTTGTTGGGCTCTCCTCCCCTTCTTGTGCTGCCCACGGCCTGCTGCTGACCCCCCGCATGCCAGCCAAGGTTGGGCCAGAGGCCTCAAAGGGTCTGCCAAGACCTCAACCCGGGAGGTCTTGGGTTGTCTCTCCGGCAAAGGCTCGCATCGCCCCCTGGCGGTCCTTGGGCACCTTCGGAAATAGATGTCTGAAAGCACAGTCGGCTCAGTTTCTTTTAACCACCAGAACCTTCCTCTGATCCTACTTCAGGGACCGCAAGGTTTATTTTGTTCATTATTTTATTTATTTGAGAGAGAGAGCATGAGAGAGCGAGAACACAAGCAGGGGGCTCAGCCACTGAGCCACCAAGGACTGCAAGATTTAAATCTTTAGAAGAATCTTTCACAATCTTTTTTTTTTCAAAGATTTTATATATTTATTTGAGAGAGACAATGAGAGAGAGCATGAGGGGGGGGAGGGTCAGAGGGAGCAGCCGGCTTCCCGCGGAGCAGGGAGCCCGATGTGGGGCTCGATCCCAGGACCCCGGGACCATGACCTGAGCCGAAGGCAGACACTCAACCGACTGAGCCACCCAGGCACCCCAAGAATCTTTTACAATCTTTAAGAGATTTTTTACTTTCTTTTTTTTTTTAAGATTTTATTTATTTATTTGACAGAGACCCAGCGAGAGAAGGAACACAAGCAGGGGGAGTGGGAGAGGGAGAAGCAGGGCCCCCCGCCGAGCAGGGAGCCTGATGCGGGGCTCGATCCCAGGACCCTGGGACCATGACCTGAGCCGAAGGCAGACGCCTAACGACTGAGCCACCCAGGCGCCCCGAGATTTTTTACTTTCAAGTAATCTATATTTTTGGAGATGAAATCTGTTTCCCAGGTTAAACTTTTTTGTCAATCTGTATGAGATAATGAACATTACAGAAACTTGGCATTTTTGTTTGCTCGTGGAAACTCAGCTCAGGTAGATGGGTGATGTCCAGTGAGCCGCTGCGTCATGTTGGGAGGAGCTTGCTCGCACCCCCTCTGACCGCCTGGGAAGGGCTCCAGGTATCTGAGCTCCCCCGCCATACAGTGAAGAAAGATGTTCAGAGACAGGGCCACGTGATGGTTGGCAGACCACAAGCTCTCACCAGTTCTGGGTGCTTCTCAGGAGAGCATGCCACCATTTTAAAGATGCCTGGGCTTTTGAGGGTTTGGGGTATGAGTGGTGACCCTCAGTGATGCACTTGGTTTTGGGGGCTTCCTAGTGGCAGCCTCACCTCTGTTCCTCATCCCGTGCCAGATTTTTGGATTCCTGGTCTGCATGGGGGTGATCCTGGCCATTGGCAATGCCATCTGGGAGCATGAAGTTGGGATGCGCTTCCAGGCCTACCTGCCGTGGGACGAGGCGGTGGACAGTGCCTTCTTCTCCGGCTTCCTCTCCTTCTGGTCCTATATCATCATCCTCAACACCGTGGTGCCCATATCGCTCTACGTCAGGTACGCACTCACTCTGCCCGGGCTCTCCCAGGGAGCTCAGGTGGTCCCTTGGCAAACCTTTCTGTGAAGGTGAAACCTTTGGGAAGGAAACTGGAGCTCCTCCTTGTGCCTCGAGCATCTTGTGCTTGCCCCGCACAGAAGGTATTCTGTGCGGAGCAAGCTTCGTCACCGTTTTCGGGTGCTTTGGACTGTGTCACAACAAAAACCGTATTGATTTATTCGGCATGTGTCGCTCGCATGGCCACTTTGTGCCGTGCTCCCTGCAAAGACATGTGAGGGACGGACCTTGTTCTCTGCAGGAGCTTCGGGCTAGTAGAGAGGAAAATCTAAACACCTTCTAAAACAGAATGGGAGTGCGTGCTGTGGGAGTCCTTCTACCTGCAGGCGACGCCACTCCCTGGGTGGTTAATCAGGGAGGACTTCTCTGCAGAGGGGGCTGGAGCCTGGGGGAGGGGGAGACAGAGGCCTGGGGGTGGGGCCCTTGGAATGGTCACTGTTCGGCAGCGGAACAGGGTGTGACTGGGTCCCAGCTGACCTGGTTCCTGACAACAGAAGTCGTCAGCGTTAGTCCTGTTGAAAAAAATCCCTGCGCGTCAGGAGGTGTTGGCTGGCCGCGGTGAGCGGCGTAAGTGGGATCTAGGAGACACCTAGGCTGTTGGAGGCACAGAGCATGTGAACGGGGACGGGCCGGTGAGAATGAGCAGGAAGAGTAGCCGGAAGAAAGAACCTCGAGGTAAGCAGACCTGAGACGTGTTGAAGGAAATCCTCTCTGGATGCTCGGGACTCATCCCAAGGGCTGCGTTTTCGTTCACACACACTCCCCAGGTGCACCTCAGGTCTCCCCTGAGCCCTGCTGCTGATGGCACTGACCACACGGAGCGTTTCCCTGCCACAGTGGACAGTTTGGGCTTTTCTAGAACACTGACAGGAGACTCCCGGCCACGTGGGGCCGGTTTCCACACGGAACGTGGGGACGGTCCTGTCCACCTTCTTCGTGGGAACGTGTCGAAACTGGGTTGACACGAGACGCTCGATTGGAGGGTCGGACGTCGGGTGGGAGCCTGCCTCCTGGCCGTCACCGCTCCTTCGTTCCTACTGAAATGCTTTCCTGTCTGCCGTCTCCCTGGTCCCCATCTTCGGGCTTGCTGCCCGAATTTCGTCCCTGCTCACCCAGCGCCCGTGGTAGCTGCTAAGAAAGCCTCTTGCTAAGTCTGATCAGGCTCCAGGGAGTGTTGGGGGGCGGGAGCAGCCCAGTGGGGAGAAGGCTGAGAAGTCCCCTTGAGCTGCTGCAACGTGGGTCTTGATCCAGTCTGGCTCAGGCTGCACGCAGGGTTCCGGAGGCGCCCCAGGGCTCGGTCTCCTTCCTGGGGTGCTGACAGTCCACATCCCAAAGGGAATGCCGGAGGAGGGGGCGGGCCCCAGGCCGTGGAAAGCGCCCTGCCTCTGGCACTTGGCATGGTTTCCCGTGGCGGAGGCGCAGTTCCGGCCGCCTCGCTCCCTGGAAGCGCGAGGCCGTAGCGGGGCCCCGAGCTGGGCGGAAGGACAGCGCTTGCGGTGGGCGGCGAGGGGCCAGTGCCCTCGCTGTCTCTCTTCTCTTCCTTCCCTCACACTCTCTTGTCTTCTCTGCACGGTTTCTGTGTTACTCGTCCTGAGGTAAGAGCTGGTCGAGTGCCTTGTCTGCAGTCCTTTCCTCTCTCTGCCTGGACCGTCCGTCCCGCCTGCCCAGGCCCTTTGCACCTTCTTGTCTGGAGAGCATCAGAGGGTCGGGGTCAGGGAGCTCTTGGCCGGCCGCAGTGGCCGGCTCCACCTGCAGCCACTCCTTGCCCGTCCCACCCAGGTTCCGTGCCCAGGTGTCCGCTCCGTGCGTCCTGTCTCCCCCCAGGCGGGGGGCCTGCAGCGGAGGCCTGTGCGGGTGGGGCCCGTCCTCGGCTCCCTGCCCGAGCCTTACCTCCTGTCCCCTGTGCAGCGTGGAGGTCATCCGCCTGGGCCACAGCTACTTCATCAACTGGGACAAGAAGATGTTCTGCATGAAGAAGCGGACGCCCGCGGAGGCACGCACCACCACCCTGAACGAGGAGCTGGGCCAGGTGGAGTATGTCTTCTCTGACAAGACGGGCACCCTCACCCAGAACATCATGGTCTTCAACAAGTGCTCCATCAGCGGCCGCAGTTACGGTAGGGCCGCACCGCGTCGACCCAGGGCTCCCAGCCGCCGCCGTCTTGACATTTGGGGTTTGCTTCTTTCCTGCTCGGGCTTGTGGGGCCAGGAGAGCATCGGCCTTGTGCCCCGGGTCAGGCCGCAGATGCGGAGTGCCTCTCCTGCTCTCTGTGCTGGCCTCGCCCTGGTCTCAGCCCCAGGCAGGAGGGGGCTCTGTGGCTGTTAGAAGGAGCGTTGGTGGAGTGCGAGACGCTCCCCAGGTTGCGTTCGGGGCACTTGTGCGTCTCTGGAATGTGACTGTGGTCTCCGTGCAGCCTTGCTGCAGTGGCCTCACGGCCTAGCCACGGGATAGCCTGCGATAGGGTGTGTGGGGCCTCACTGTTTTTGGTACCAACTTGGGCCTGTGGCTCGTGTGTGGGGTTTGTCCGTTGTTAGGCCCACGGGGTGAAAGGCCGGAGAGCGGGTGGGGCGTGCTAGGGAGAGGGACATGGAGCAGTGGGGGCCATGACTTTCAGTCCTGGGGTTCTGAGGACCCGGGGTGCCTCGAGTCAGCCGTGTGACCTGTGACCGCGGCTCAGTGGCTGGGGTTGAGGGTTCCAGATGCCTGTGGGGGTTCTGTGCTGGAGGCTTTTCTCCACCGCTCTTCTGATGCTGCTTCGCCTTCTGTCCCGGCTGCATGTAGGGGACGTGCTTGATGTCCTGGGACACAAAGCTGAATTGGGACAGGTAAGGCCCGGCCTCCGTAGTTACTCTGTGCCCATTAAATGTAGGGTGCTCGCCCAGTAACGGCGGGTGTGGTAAGGAGGGAGCTGTTCTTTGGTCACGAAGTGGAGGCTGATTGGAGAAAGGGTATGTTCAGGAAGAATTGGGAGCAGGAAGGAGAATGTGGGGTCTGCAGCAGACGGGGTCTTGGGCTGTCCTCTGGAAGGGCAGGAAACAGCAAGGTGGGGACAGCCCTCCTGGGGTGCAGCCTGCCACCGCCCTCTGCTTGTTGCCCTCATTGCTCTAGAAGCCGGAGCCTGTTGACTTCTCCTTCAACCCTCTGGCCGACAACAAGTTCTTATTTTGGGACCCCACCCTCCTGGAGGCTGTCAAGATGGGGGACCCCCACACGCACGAGTTCTTCCGTCTCCTTTCTCTGTGTCATACTGTCATGTCAGAAGAGAAGAACGAAGGTGAGCCTGGGGCCGGCTTACGCGCTCTCCGCCCGACGGCCGCCCTCCAGCTGCTCTGCGGTGTGGCCAGGCGGGGCCGTCCGGGGGCCTGGGGCAGCCACTTACGCCACCTGTACTGTTCCTCCCCTCCCAGGGGAGCTGTACTACAAAGCCCAGTCCCCGGATGAGGGCGCCCTGGTCACCGCAGCCAGGAACTTTGGTTTTGTATTCCGCTCTCGCACCCCCAAAACCATCACTGTCCACGAGATGGGCACAGCCGTCACCTACCAGCTGCTGGCCATCCTGGACTTCAATAACATCCGCAAGCGCATGTCTGTCATCGGTGAGGCTGGGCCTGGGCTGCCGGGGGCACTCGTGGCAGTGTCAGGGCCTGCGGAGGGTGAGGGGTGCTGGGTGGCTCTTGCTGATGTGGTAGGTTGGGGGTCTTTGCCTACCTGAGTCTTCCCGGGACTTTCTCCCCTTGGCCTGATCCTAGTGCGGAATCCAGAAGGGAGGATCCGACTCTACTGCAAAGGGGCTGACACGATCCTGCTGGACAGACTTCACCCCTGCACCCAGGAGCTGCTCAGCACCACCACTGACCACCTGAATGTAGGTGTGAGGACAGGGGCCCTGTGGTTCTGAACTCAGTGTCGTGGCGGGGAGGCCGCAGGCTGACCTTGGCTCTGCCCCCAGGAGTATGCCGGGGAAGGGCTGAGGACCCTGGTTCTGGCGTACAAGGATCTGGATGAAGAGTACTATGGGGAGTGGGCCCAGAGACGGCTCCGAGCCAGCCTGGCCCGGGACAGCCGGGAGGACAGGCTGGCCAGCGTGTACGAGGAGGTGGAGAGCAACATGGTGGTATGGCTGCAGGTGGGCCGAGGGGGTCGGGGGGCTCGTGTCTGGGACTCTCCCGTCTGGAACCCTTGCGGTATTTCCAGCTGCTGGGCGCAACAGCCATTGAGGACAAGCTTCAGCAGGGGGTTCCAGAGACCATCGCCCTCCTGACGCTGGCCAACATCAAGATTTGGGTGCTGACCGGAGATAAGCAAGGTGAGAGCCCAGCATCTAGATGCAGCCCTTGCACGAGCCTAGACCTCAGGCTGCAGAGTGTGCTGAGCTCATCAGTCTCTGTTGGTAGAGACGGCCGTGAACATCGGCTATTCTTGCAAGATGCTGACGGACGACATGACGGAGGTGTTCGTTGTCACCGGCCACACTGTCCTCGAAGTGCGGGAGGAGCTCAGGTAGACAGAGGCCCAAGGCAGGCAGATGTCCTGCACGTGCAGACCCTGCTCCTGTCCCGGAGCCCACGGGTGCATTCCTGCCTTTCCAGGAAAGCCCGGGAGAAGATGCTGGACTCACCCCACGCCGTGGGAAATGGCTTCACCTGCTCAGAGAAGCGTTCTGCCAAGCTCACTTCTGTCCTGGAGGCCGTTGCCGGGGAGTACGCCCTGGTCATCAACGGGCACAGCCTGGTGAGCGTCTTCCCAGAGACCCCTTCTCTCCACGTGGCCGGTCTGTCTTACTTTGCTCTCACTCCCCTGACCTCAGTGCAGCTGTGGCCTCTCGGGGGCTGGGAGGCGTGACTCCCATGTCCGCCCGGGGAGGATGGGCTCTCTCAGGTCCTGTGTTCCAGGCCCATGCGCTGGAGGCGGACATGGAGCTGGAGTTCCTGGAGACGGCCTGTGCCTGCAAAGCTGTCATCTGCTGCCGTGTGACCCCTTTGCAGAAGGCACAGGTGGTGGAGCTGGTTAAGAAGCACAAGAAAGCCGTGACCCTCGCCATCGGCGACGGAGCCAATGATGTCAGCATGATCAAGAGTGAGTGTGGATGTGGGGGCGCGGGGGGAGGGGGGTCGGCTCCACCCTGCTGCGATTCTGAGCGTGTGACTCTGCTTCCCCTTGTCACCACCTGTCCCTGTAGCGGCTCACATTGGCGTGGGCATCAGCGGCCAGGAGGGCATCCAGGCTGTGCTGGCCTCTGACTACTCCTTCTCCCAGTTCAAGTTCCTGCAGCGCCTCCTGCTGGTGCACGGGCGCTGGTCCTACCTGCGCATGTGCAAATTCCTCTGCTATTTCTTCTATAAGAACTTTGCCTTCACCATGGTCCACTTCTGGTTTGGCTTCTTCTGCGGCTTCTCCGCCCAGGTAGGGCGCCCTTGGCCCACTGCTTCCTGTGTGTGAGCTCCATAAGGGCAGAGATCTTCTGGCCTGTCAGTCAGCCCCCCAGGGCCCAGGTGTTGTCAGGTTCATGCGTTAAAATAAACATTGGTTGAGGGGCTCCTAGCCTGCTGAGACCGTGCAGCCTGTGACTCTCGGTCTTGGGGTTGTGAGTTCAAGCCCCACGTTGGGTGTAGAGCCTACTTAAAAAAACAAAACGAGAACAAACACACACTTGTTGAGGGAGTAGAGATGGGCTTCAGAAAATTCCTTAGGGCTCCATACACCACTCAGCAGTCTCTCTGCCCGATTTGTAGTGAAGAAAGAGTGAGTGTTTCCTCCTGTCTTGCTGTGTTCTCTTCCCAGACCGTCTACGATCAGTACTTTATCACCCTTTACAACATTGTGTACACCTCGCTCCCAGTCTTAGCCATGGGGGTCTTCGACCAGGTAAGGGGCACAGGGGTCGGGGGCTGGGGAGAGGCCATGCTGTGAAGAAAGCACACGGTGGCGGTGTGTGCACCTGCCGCCCGCAGGTGCCTGGGAAGGCCATGCTCTCCCGCTCGGCGGCCGCTGCCCTGTGACTTTCCTGGGTGGGGGGCTTGAGGCAGAATCCAGCTGTCAAAGAATTTGGAAAGGAGGGGAGGGCGGGATGGGCTCTGCCCTTGGCTCTCCGGAGGCCTCTGGAACCCCTGGTCCCCCCCCGCAGGATGTCCCGGAGCAGCGGAGCATGGAGTACCCCAAGCTGTATGAGCCAGGCCAGCTGAATCTTCTCTTCAACAAGCGGGAGTTCTTCATCTGCATTGCCCAGGGCATCTACACGTCCGTGCTCATGTTCTTCATCCCGTACGGCGTGTTTGCTGAGGCCACGCGGGACGACGGCACCCAGCTGGCCGATTACCAGTCCTTTGCGGTCACCGTGGCGACCTCCCTGGTCATCGTGGTCAGCGTGCAGGTGTGAGGCCGACCCGGCGCTGCCGTCCCCTGTATCTGGGCGGCCGCCCTGGGTGGGATGGGGCGGGGGGGGTCGCCCTTCCTGTCTCTGACAGCTGCCTTTCTCAGATCGGGCTGGACACTGGCTACTGGACGGCCATCAACCATTTCTTTATCTGGGGCAGCCTGGCTATCTACTTTGCCATCCTGTTTGCCATGCACAGCAATGGGCTCTTCGACATGTTTCCAAACCAGTTCCGGTTTGTGGGTGAGTCTCTGCGGCGGCTTCCCTACCAACGGGGCAGGTGGCTCACAAGCACCGTGGGAGCGTTTGTGCGGCACACCAGGTGCTCGGTGAGGCGCTGTGGGCACGTCGGGGTGTCTCTGACCCGGGCCGGCCCTCACAGGGCTTCCGTGTCCATGAGTGTGAGGAAGAGCCCTGCTAGGCCGTGCGGTCAGGGTCAAGTGGTGGCCGACCTGCTCATGATCAGCAGATGACTGGTTGGGGGTGGTCAGGGATAGTCCGAGGGCAGGCCGCTGCAAGGCTGACCCCACACCCGGGAGCTGGAAGTGTAGTTGGGTGGATGAGAGGCTGGAAGGGAGGACATTAAAGGTGTCAACGTCAGGCTCTCAGGTCTTGATTTATTTCACTGGGAGTCTTTTTTTTTTTCTTTTTTTTGAGGAAAGAGGGGAATGGCATCAAAGGATTACTTTAGAAAGAGGAATCTGGTGGCTAGTGAGGAGCTACGGTAGTGACTGAGTACGAGGATTCAGACGGGCGTGGGGCGGCGGCGGGGGCGGGGGGGCAGGGGCAGACGGGCTGCTTGGGAGGCACAAAGTGAAGGACGGGTGCAGGGGGTGCATTTGATTTCAGTCTGTTCGTTTATCCACTCAGTGGACGTTCGGTCGGCCCCTACTGTGTGTCACCACTGTCCTGGGTGCTGGGGAGGCAGTACTTGCTCTCCTGGGTTTCGTATCTCAGAGAGACAGGCAGTTTACAGGGTAGCAGATGAAACGTCTAGAATTAGGAAGTCTTACAAAAAACATCAAGCAGGGTAGAGAGGGACAGGGTAGTGAGGGAAGACCCCTTGAAGAGAGGACGTTGACACAGAGAAATCTGAAAAAAGGGGAGTGAGCCTGGAAGAGGAACCGCTAGAGGGGCCCTAGGGGGGCTTGACTGGAAGTTCCCACAGAAGAGGGAGGGGTGTGTGGAGTAAGCAAGGCTGGAGGGCAGGGCCTGGCTGGGTGCCGGGGGGTGGGGGGTAAGAATGGATCCAGATCTTTATGTTCTAAAAGTTTAGAGTTAGAATTTTGAATTTTATTTTTTTTATTTTAAAAATTTTTTTTAATTTTTTTTTTAAAGATTTTATTTATTTATTTATTTGACAGAGAGAGAGAGAGATAGCGAGAGCAGGAACACAAGCAGGGGGAGTGGGAGAGGGAGAAGCAGGCTTCCTGCCGAGCAGGGAGCCCGATGCGGGGCTCGATCCCAGGACCCTGAGATCATGACCTGAGCCGAAGGCAGACGCTTAACGACTGAGCCACCCAGGCGCCCTATTTTTAAATATTTTTTAAAGATCTTATTTATTTATTTGACAGAGAGACACAGTGAGAGAGGAACACAAGCAGGGGGAGTGGGAGAGGGAGAAGCAGGCTTCCCGCGGAGCAGGGAGCCCGATGTGGGACTCGATCCCAGGACCCCGGGATCATGACCTGAGCCGAAGGCAGACTGAGCCACCCAGGCGCTGCAGAACTTTGAATTTTAGTCTAAATATGATAGGAAGCCATTGGAGGGTTATAAGCAGGGAAGTGTCAGAACCCATTTGTGTGTTTAAGGACAGCTGTTACGGTTTTGGGGATGGTAAAGCACAGAGGGTAAAGGTGGAAATGGGGAGGCCAGTTAGGAGGCTCTGGTGGTGACCCGGGCTTGGGGGGCGGGGCAGGGAGCCGCGGCCACCTTCCACAGGCGGTTTGAGAAACGGAGCCTTAGCAGCGTGGACGGTGGCATTTCCTGAGCTGGGAAGACCCCGGGGCAGGTTGGGGTGGGGGGTGAGGCTGTGAGGAGACAGCAGAGGCGCCCAGGAAAGCAGATAAAGAAATGGGTCTAGGGAGCAGGGAGGACTCAGGAGCTAGGACGGGGCAAATAGGGCTGCCCCTCGTCTGCCCGTGAGTCCCAAGGCCGCCAGCGGCTTCGTTCCCCAGGCAACGCCCAGAACACCCTAGCCCAGCCCACGGTGTGGCTGACCATCACGCTCACCACCGTCGTCTGCATCATGCCTGTGGTCGCCTTCCGGTTCCTCAAGCTGAGCCTGAAGCCCGATCTCTCGGACACGGTGAGCCGCCCGCTGTCTGCTTTGGGGGACCGGGAGGGCGGGTCGGGGAGCCCTCTGGCACGAATGTTGATGCTGGTGGCTGTCACCCACTGTTTCTTGGGGCAGAACCCCGTGCAGCCTCGTCCCAGAGGCTCCGGGTCCCTTGTCCTGGGGGGGGGGGGTGTGATGCCGACGCCGTCACCGATGGGCTCCTTCCCAGGTGCGCTACACCCAGCTGGTGAGGAAGAAGCAGAAGGCCCAGCACCGCTGCCTGCGACGGGTGGGCCGCACCAGTTCCCGGCGCTCGGGCTACGCCTTCTCGCACCAGGAGGGATTCGGGGAGCTCATCATGTCTGGCAAAAACATGCGGCTCAGCTCCCTCGCTCTGGCCAGCTTTACCACCCGCTCCAGCTCCAGCTGGATTGAGAGCCTGCGCAGGAAGAAGAGTGACAGCGCTGGGAGCCCCAGCGGAGGGGCCGACAAGCCCCTCAAGGGGTGAGGGCTGACCCTGGGGCGCCTGTGCCGGCCACGCGCGTGCGGGGCGGTCCAGCCACCGAGAGGACAGCTTCTCGGAACTGCGGGCCCCCCACGCCCGCCTTGCATCCCTCCTTGCAGACCCCATCCTACTGGCACCTCCAGCCCGGGGGGGGGGGCGGTGGTGGTGGCGGGGGCCCGGAGGGTGGAGCAGGGACAGGGGCATCAGGAGCCAGCCCCAGGGAGGGGTCAGATGTGGAACCAAAAACTGAAATTGAGATTGGGTCTGCCCCTGCCCTGCTTGGAGCCCACAGGGAGACTAGAATCTCTGTATTTTTTTACTCCCACTCCCCAGAGGGGGCCGAGGGCCTCTGTTCCTGAATTACACAAGAATGTATCATGCTGGGAAGCCGGAGATCTGCTGGGGCCCACGGGCCCCTCACGTCGTGTGTGTCTCTCCTTGATTTGTGTTTGTGTCCAGTTTGGTTTTGTGTTTTTTATTTGGCAGGAGGAGGGGGCCTCTGAGTGACTTCTGTGTTGTGGGAAGAGGAGGCTGGCCCCCCAGGGGTGCCCCAGCTGGCTGGATGGGGTGGTTCTGCAGGGCCCTTGAGGGCTGCAAGGCTGGCCAGGGAGGGAGCCCCCGCCAGCCCCAGGGGTCCGCAGAGCACGGAGGAGGAGGACTTGGTCCCGTCTCCTTCCTCCCCCAACACACGTACCAGTTCCTGGGTCCGTAAGTCCTGCTGGTGTTGGGCTGGAGCCTGGGGGTGCAGTCCTGTCATTCTCTGACCTCAAGCTGGGTGTAAGATGTAGTCCAAAAAAAGAGATTTCTTTCATTTTAAATTTGGATCTGAGTTCATTAGCAGAGTCCTGTCTGTCTTCCATCCTCCATCATCTGGCATTTTCCTGCTCCCGCACCCGGGACCAGAGGCGGGGCTGAAGGGGAAGCGGGCCTCCACTGCTCCCTTCTGGTCCACGAGGGGTCCCGCCCCTCCAGCCCCAGCATCCAAGAGAGCTGTGGAGGAGGCGGGGGGGGGGGGGGGGCTGGCCGGCCCAGGGCCGCGAGCCATGCCTGGCAGGGCCTGGGTGTGCCTGTCCTTCCATACCCCAAATCAGGCTTCAGCTGGGGTAGTTGCTACCAGTTCAGTCTGGGTAGTGGAGGGCCTGCTGAGGGTTGGTGTGGGGCTGGGAGGGGCGTGTAGGCCTTAACTCAGTGCAGGAGCCTCGAGGCAGGTGGGCTGGGCAGGGGGCCAGGGGAGGGGACGCTTGACAGGGAAAACCCTTTTGGCTGCACAGTTTACAAACCCAACATCATGTCTGTCTGTGTGTCTCTCAAGGTGAGAGTCTGATTTTTATACCAAAGAGGAAATGATTTTTTTTCATATTTGATTTGTCTATATTATATAAATATATATATAAATATATATATACAGTTATATATAATTTTTTTGGTTCTCTCTCGTTTTTTTAGGGAGGGAGGCAGTACCAAGTTGCATTGAGCTGTAATAAAGGAACGTTCTGTATAATTTATGACACATTTCTATACTTGCAAGAATTATATCATTTTATGGACCTAAGAAAAAAATGCCTTTTTATAAAATTCCAATTTCTGAGAAATGTGTAATTTGTCTCTTTTATAATATTTAATCAAGGCTGGTGGCAAACGGGAAGACAAACTTTTTTAAATGGAATTGAGTGGGTGGGGCCTGTGTTGAGGTGGAGAAAGTGGGGTCTGGCTGGTCCCTGCACTCCTCCTGGGACTGGTTCTCAGCTGCACGGGGCAGTGGGCCGACCTGGGCACTCATGTGGCCTTGGCCCGTTTGCTTTTCCAAACAAACCACCTGCATGTTCCTAATGCGCGGTAGCCAGGTGGGGAAAGAACCAGGTGAATATCACAAGTTGATTTTTTTTTTTTACCCCTCTGTCTTTTTTTTTTTTTTTTTTCTAAGATTTTTTTTTTTTTGTCAGAGAGAGAGAGCACAAGCAGGGGGAGCAGTAGAGGCAGAGGGAGAAGCAGGCTTCCCACTGAGCCGGGAGCCCGATGCGGGGCTCGATCCCAGGACCCCGGGACCGTGACCCGAGCCGAAGGCAGACGCTTCACCACTGAGCCGCCCAGGCGCCTGCCCTTCCCTCTTGTTTTTCCCACTGGCACTGGCCTAGCCTCACTCTTCCTGGCTTTTCCCAGAAGTGAACATCAAGGGGCCTAGTACAGACCATGTGAGCTCTCCGGCAGGGAGGGGAGAAGGGGAGGCCCGCGTCCCAGGACGGGGGGGGCACCGGTCTGGCTCCCCTCCGACCTACCCAGTCCTTTCTGTCGCAGTGACTGTCTTAGCTCTGAGTTCCGAGCAGGTGCGAAGCCGGAGGGGAGATGTGGAGAAAGGTCAGTTTCCCGCTGGAGAACGAGGCCACCCAGGCGCCCCACCCACATGCCTAGCTAGGATCACCTTTGACCTTCACGTGGCCACCTGACATTGCCAGGCCCGACCTGATGCGTCCGACTTGGCCGCCTCCTCCACCTCCTTTTCTTTTCTTTTTAATCCCTTCTGGTATCGCCCCTGCCGCTTCTCCACCTCCTTCTCTGGAGGCTCGGCCTCTGCTCTCTTCGCCAGGGCTCCATCTTGGCTCTGAGCTCTTCTGGTTTGGTTAAGGTCCTGCAGCGGCCCCATTGGAACCTGTGGTTTTCATGAGGTTTGGGAGAGTCACGGTCATTCACCTCCAGATTGGACTTCTGTCCCCTCCCCCCACACTCCCGACCTTTGTCCTCAAATATTCACTGGACTTCCAGCTGGAGGACCCACCAGCTCCTCTCATTCAACACGCCCCACGCCGGACATTATTTTCCGCAACTTCTGCTCCTCCTACCGCAGCCCCACTCCAGTGAATGGCGCCCTCTCTCCACAGTCACAGGTCCCCGAGGAAACCCCACAGCGTCTGCTCTGGCGTCCCCACACTCCACATCATGCGCTCGATCCTCCCTGATGCGGAGCGTGGAATGAATGAGGGGGTATGATGTTCCGAGCTGCTGTTTCCCAGGGGTTGTGACCCAGTGAGGGTCACTGCTGCCCGTCTGCCCCCTAAGGAGGAGGAGACTCAAAACAGAGAAACCCTTCCACAAGGAAAGCGCCATCCTCAGGCCTGCCCCGGCCCTGCAGGGGCACGGGAGAGACCAGTGTTCAGCCAGACAGGCCAGCGGCTCCGGCTTGCCCCCTCCATGCCTGCGGGAGCGGGGTCCCTGACCGAGACCCAGGACTGGGGCCTGTGGTCTCCACGTAGGAGGAACCGCTGTCGGGAGAGCCCCTGCACTAACAGCTGAGCCCTGGAGCTGAAGGGAGGGGCTGAATTCGCTCTCTTATCTCTGTTTTCAGAACAAAGTCGGGAAGCCGACACCCACGTTTTACATTGTGTAGGGGGTCTGAGTGGGGTGAGCCGAATCCGAAGGTCAGGGATGGCCGAGGTGGGGTGGCTCAGCGTCCAGTGAAAGAAAAGGTGAGGTCTGCTCTCAGCTTCCGTGTGCGCCCCCTTCTGAGGCTTCAGCGGCCTCCCGTGAAGGCCCAAGGCCTGACTCCAGTGAGAAACAGCGAGCTCCTGGCCCTCCTGGCACTTCTGGGGGCTTCCAGTTCCGTTCCAGTAGGGGCAGCTGCTGTGCTAGCTGGGGGTAGGGGGGTAGGGTGTACACTTCCCCTCTCGGGGTTGACAAAGGGAGGCCTTTCCCAGACATTTCTCAGGGCCTAGAATGTGTAAAAACAACAAAACCCCATGGGGGTGTTTTCCCTTAAGAAATGAGTGTTTCTGGACAGAGAACATGGGAGTCCCCGAGGCTAGGACAGCCTGAGGTCTTCCTGGGCTGGAGATTCTGCAGAAATTGTCCACCCTGCTATGGCTGGGGGGCCCTGAGACACCTTGGGAAGGATACTCTCTCTGTCCCCCAGGGTCCAGCAGTGACGTATGTGGGCCTGAGTGTGTGGAGGAGGCGCACAGGACACCAGTTTTACCTGAGGTCCTGCAGGGGTGAGGAGGGGGCTGCAGGTGAAAGGAAAGGACCACAGCTTACTCTCCACTCCCCTCATGCACACCGGTCTCTCTGCAGCTGCAAGCCCAAGGCGCCCCTCTTCCTGCTCACCCGCTGCCTCGAGAGCCTTGTGCAGGCAAGTGCTGGGTGCAGGGCCATTGTTGCAAGGGGCTCTGGGTCAGCGGCTGCTCCCGGGGCAGGGAAAAGGCCCTCAAGCTGGGTTTGCTGAAGCTGGAGCTTGGGCCTGGAAGCTGGGGTCCTTCCTGGTGGAGAAGGGACGACTCCTAGAAAAGCAGAAACTCTGCTCTGTGAGGACATAAAGGACACAGGGAGACCACGGGAGACCTCCTCAGCCACTGATGATGGCCACTCTCTAGGTCCTACCCCATCCCGAGAACAGGAAGAGATAGGCCCTGACCCTGTCTCTGGAACTAGTATGGTAGAAGGGGCAACTCATCCCATCAGATGTTCTGCCATCTCTTGACTGATAGTTCTTTTTTTTAAAGATTTTTACATTTATTTTAGATCTGTAGAGAGGGAGAGGGAGCGTGAGCGCACAAGTGGAGGGGCAGAGGGGGAGGGAGAGGGACAAGCAGACTGCACAGAGCCGGAGCCTGTCTTGGGGCTCGATCTCATAACCCCAATATCATGATCTGAGCTGAAATGAAGAGTTGGATGCTCAACCGACTGAGCCACCGAGGCGCCCCCCTCAACCGATGGTTCTTTTTTTTTTTTTTTAAGATTTTATTTATTTATTTGAGAGCAAGAGAATGGTAGAGAGAGAGCACGAGAGGGAAGAGGGTCAGAGGGAGAAGCAGACTCCCCGCCGAGCAGGGAGCCCGATGTGGGACTCGATCCTGAGACTCCAGGATCATGACCTGAGCCGAAGGCAGTCGCTTAACCAACGGAGCCACCCAGGCGCCCTCAACTGATGTTCTTAATCATATTGGCTCAGGGGCCCTAGAAAGCTATGCAGTAAAACGCTCCTGTACGTATATGAAGCACATGCAGTATCATGGGTTCCTAGCAGTTCATCCGGGGCTGCTCAGAGCAGGCCTGCCTGGGGCACGTGTGGGGTTCTGGGGCAAGTAACGCAAGGAGGCCCACATAACGCTCGTCTAAGTACTGAGGAAGTTAAGGGATCAGGCTAACAGACTGTTAAAGTATGTTCTATCCCCTACCTTAGCAGATGTTTCTCCTCCTCCTCCTCCTTCTTCAAGATTTTAGTTATTTATTTGAGCGAGAGCATGAGCGGTAAGGAAGGGCAGAGGGAGAAGCAGGCTTCCCGCGGAGCAGGGAGCCCGACGACGTGGGGCTCGATCCCAGGACCCTGGAATCGTGACCTGAGCCGAAGGCAGACCCTTAACCGACTGAGCCCCCCAGGCGCCCCGACCCTCAGTTTG